AAGCTTGTGGGAGCTCCAATGATTGCAATCTTAATTTTCTAATTTTTTGTTTTTTTTTTAAAAAAAAAATAACCTCAGCATTTATTAATTTCTCTCAACCCACAAGATTTTTTTGATTCTCTCATAATATTGCAGTACCTTTTCCAAAACAAATAATTTGTATATTAAAAAAAAATTTAAAACAAATATAAATATCGCTATCTATTTTATTTATTACTATCTTTAACCCACAAGTTTTGTGAAAGTTTCAATATCTAAAACCTAATTTCTTAATTTTTTTAATTTTTTTTGGAAAAAAAAAAAACTTAAACATTTATTAAATTCTTCCAAGTCTTTTTTAATTTTCCAATACACACACTATTTTAACTTTTCACATACCTATTGCAAATAGTAAGTTCTCATTTTGTTTTTCTTCTTCTTGACTTCTCACTTCTACACTTTCAACTTCAGTAACCACGTATGCAAACAGTAAGTCTTCTTTTGTTTTTTCCCTTGCTACTTTTCCTTTTGTTTACTATTTTAATATTGTAGTTAGATAGCGCATAAAAATATTTTTGTGATTTGTCTAGTGAATTAAAAATTATAATTTGATTTTTTAATATGATTGAAGTTAGATAAATATAAATCTTCACAAAGAGAAAAATGTGATTATAATTAGTTGAATGATTCTTTTTTTTTTAATGTGATTGTAGTTATTTAATAGTTCTTTTTTTTCATTTATTTATTTTATTATGGGAAAAATGTGATCTGATTGTTAGTTTGTTCAATTGCTCTTTTTTTTAATATGATTGTTGGAGTTAAGTTTCAATGGTTCTTTTTTAATATGTTATTAATCTTTTTATTATATTTTAATTTTATTTTTAATATGACTGAAGTTAATAAACATAAAACACTCACAAAGAAAAAAAATTGTGATTGTAATGTGATGTGATTGTAATTTGTTTCAATGGCTCTTTTTTTAATATGATTATTGTAGTTAGTTCAATGGTTTTTTTTTTAATGTATTTTAATCCTTTTATTACTATTTTAATTTTATTTTTAATATGATTGAAGTTAGATAAACATAAACCTCACAAAGAAAAAAATGTGATTGTAGTTAATTCAATGGTTTTTTTTAATGTGATTGCCAGTTAATCAATGGTTCTTTTATTATATTTATTTATTTATTTATTATGAGAAAAAATGTGATGCGATTATAGATTGTTCAATGATTCTTTTTTTTTTTAATGTTGATTTCATCTTTTATTTACTGTTTTAATGTTTTTCTTTACAATATATTATTGAAAAAATATGATTGTAGTTAGATAGCATTAAAATATTTGTGATTTGATTTGATTTTTTTCTGATTTGGTTTTAAAGTACCAATTAATTTTGATAATGATTAGATGTATTTTGAAAAAAAAAATTGAATTGATTTTTTAACTCACTGTGTTTTTTGAAAAAAAATTGTAAGTGATTGTAGTTTGTTCAATTTGAATTTCTAAATTTTTTATTAAAAAAAAAACTCAGCATTTATGGATTTGGTCAAAATTTTCTGATAAACATTTATTAATTTTTTTCAATCACATGTCTTTCCACATGCCTGCATTTATTGATTTGGTCAAAATTCCTGATCAGTATTTAAAACTCCCTCATACAAATAAGGGCATTGATTTAACCCCCTTAAAACACCCACCCCCACAAGCCCCTCACACACATGGAGGTTGAGGATTGGGTGAGAAGAGGAAAAAAAAAAAAAAAAAGAAGAAAAAGTTGACCAATCAAAACTAAAGGGGGTCAAGGGGTCTCAACCTTTATTCTACAAATAATTATAGATACAATCTTGTTATAGTTACTACAACACGTTTTTTCAACTTCTCTCATACACTATAATTAATGATAAGATTGTTAAATTATTTATAAAAAAATCTTAAAAAAAATAATTTATATATTAAAAAAAATCTAAAACAAATATAAATATTTATAATTATCCGTGCATAGCACGGGTGATAGACTAGTATTATATAAGAAAAATGGAGTTTTAACTTTACAGCCTTGTGGGAGCTCCAATATCCCAATCTTAATTTTTTAAAATTTTGATTTAAAAAAAAAAAGAGCTCAGCATTTATTGACTTCTCCCAAGCCACTTTTTGACTTCTCTATACTACTCCTACACCCTTTTTCAACTTTTCCTATACACTATGGCTAGTGATGGGATTGTTAAATTATTTTTATAAAAAAAATTAAAAAATAATTTGTATATTAAAAAAAATATCTAAAACAAATAGAATTCTTATTAAATCTATATATATCTATACTATATATTAAACAAAAGGGGGTTTCTAACCCCCAAGGCTGTGGGGAGCTCCAATATGTCAATCCTAATTTTCTAATTTTTGTTTTTTTTAAAAAAAAAATTAACCTCAGTATTTATTAATTTCTCTCAACCCACAAGCTTTTGACTTATCTCATAAGTGATTTAAAATTTTGATAGATATACATAAAAAAAATACATAATTATATTATTAAATCATAATTCAAATTTAGATATTATATCTTTTTGAGATCTATATATCTTTTTTTTTTTTTGTGTGTAACCATAGTGATGGAAGCAATTGAAAAGGGTGTTGCAATAATTATGAGAGAAGTCAAAAGGGATTTGTGGGTTGGGAAAAGTCAATAAATGCTGAGGTTGTTTTTTTTTTTAATCAAAAATTAGAAAATTAGGATTAGGAGATTGGAGCTCCACAGGCCTTGGGGTTAAAAATCCCCTTTTGCTTAATATATAGTATAGATTCCATGATATCTATATTACTTTTATAATTTCAAAATATTGTCATTTTCATTAAGGTTGAAAGTTGTAATTCTTTTTTCATTTTTTTTCATTTTGTTTAATTTTTGTTAATACGTGTTACAATATGATTGGTTTATAAATTAATTTTTATTTGAAAATAAAATTTCAAATTTGGATTTTTACTTAAATTATGTTACTATAATTGGAATGAGATAATATTCATTCCTTAAATTTTGAATCCTTATTAAATTATAAAATAAAATTTCAATATGAATTCTTCTTCAAATTATATTATTACGATTAGAATGAGTTCAATATTTACATGTGTCATAATATTATTGGCTAAACATAATTTGTTTTAAATACATGTGTTCAAATTATTAAATTTCCTCCTTACCTTTTTTTTATTCAAATACTTTTATTTTGTAAGAAATTTGTTTTTATTCTATTTAATATTTTGTTGTAATTTTAAATTAAAAAGAATTTCTAAAAAATCATATTTAAATTATGTATGCCATTATAAAAAGTAGATTTTTTTAACATCAACTTAGTGGTAGTTTGGAAGTGTCAAATAAGCATACTTTTTTACTTTTTATGAAAATATGTTATGAAAAGTAGAGATATAATGTGACCCAAAAAGATAATTAAGTATATTTTTTTTTTTACTTTTTACGAAATGTTGCGTAGAAAATAGAGATGTAATGTGACCAAAAAAAGATAAAAAGATTATAAAAAAAAGTGAGCTAATATGACACTTCCAAACAACCTTTTATTCGATGATCCCTTTCTAAAAGGTATATTTTCAATAAAAATTCTATTGGAAATCTTAAGTATATTGCTTTTTCTTTTATTCGTTAATATTAAATTTTTAATTAATCTAATTTATTATTTTAAAAAATAAATTAGCAAATAATTCATATATTATTATATATTAATTTCGTTTTGGTTGCTCAAGTTATTTGGTGGTTCTGCCCAAATCACTCAAATTTAATTTGAATTTTTGAATTTCTGCATAGGTTCTCACTTAATTAAAAACTATGTTATTCAATCTTTAAAAAATTTTAAGCTCGACTAAGTTACTTGGGTTGAGCTCACCTAAGTTTGCAATTCTAGTAAGGGAGGTTTAAAGTTAACATGAATAAATTTGTGATAAATTAAAAAATAATAAATAAATTGTGATAAAATTGTGAGACTTAAATTTTAAATTTCAATCTTTTTTGTTTTCATAATTTGCATAAAAAATTTAACTGTGATAAAATTTTGCATCCTTTATTAAATTATAAAATAAAATTTTAAATTAAATTCTTCTTCAAAATATATTACTACAATTAGAATGAGATCAATATTCACATGTGTCATAATAATGTATCATAATATTATTGGTCTAAATATAAGTTATTTTAAATACACGTGTTCAAATTATTAATCGCTATTAAATTTTTTTTTTTTTGGTTTTAAATTTTAAAAAAAAAATTATGTCCTTCTAAACTATAAGGCTTGAACAATAATATTTTTTAATATAATTTTTTTTTTTAACAAAAGAACAAAACATAACTTTTTTAGTACTTACCAAACATGGTGGATTTTGTTTTTTTTGTTTTTTTTTTAATTTCAATTGTCAATTAAAGAAATTAAAATAAAGAATAAGAATATCTTTGGCTCAATTTGTTAAAAAGTTAGTTTTGCTAAAATAAATTAGAAAGAAACGTTGAAATACGTATCTTTTAATGACGAAAATAATATTTCGTCTCCAATGTACAATTTTTAGAGACAAAAATAAAATTTCGTCACCAATCTAAATCATAATAAAAAAATTAGGTGACAAAATTATTTTTCGTCACTATTTATATTTTTTTGTCACTGTAGATTTTCCCGCTAATTTTTTCGGAAGGTACCAAAATTTTGAGACTTTTGGTGACGAAAAATTGGTCACCAATTATTAAATATTAATGACGAATATATTTTTGTCACTAATAATTTTTAATATTTTAATATTATTTAGTGACAAAACTTTTTTTTGTCACTGTAGATTTTCCCACTAATTTTTCGGGAGATACAAAATTTTGAGACTTTTTGATAAAATTGGTCACCAATTATTAAATTATAATGACGAATATATTTTTATCACTAATAACTTTTAATATTTTAATATTATTTAGTGAAAAATTATTTTTGTGTCTAATATTTTTATTTTTGGTGAAAAAATCAATAAATGATTTAGTTGGTAAAAATATTTTAGAGGGGAATAAAAATGTATTGGCCCCTATGGAAGCAGATAGACAGCAATCGGTTCTTCTTCTTCACAGTTCGAGGGATCGATCAATCTCTTCACAGTCGTCTCTTCAATGGCTTCCATGGACGGTCTGGTTCCGATAACTAGGGCTTTTCTTGCTTCTTATTACGACAAGTACCCCTTCACTTCTCTCTCCGACGATGTCTCTCGCCTCACGACTGAAATTCGTTCCGTGGCCAACGATTTGTGCAAGGATTTCCCGCCCATTGAAGGTGAATTTCTCAATTTCTTGATCCATTTTCAGTTTCTGTTGTCTTTGTTTTTGTGATCTACGACCTTTGCGATTCGGTTGAAGCGAGATTTACTGAATCTTTGACTGTCATTTTGACTTGTGACGACTACGTGTAGCCCATTTCAGAGTCAAATCGGTGATCTAGATCGTGACAGAATTACGATTGTGAAATATAGCTAGCTTTTAGATTCTGTGGTTTGTGCAATGTCAATATATTTAGGAGCGAATCATTAGGTTTAGTTGTTTATGTGCAAAATTCCCCAATCAATTTTATAGTGCAAACATCCCTAACTTCTTCCTCTAGTTTATTTTTTGTTTTTTTTAAAAAGAAGAAGAAGAAGACAAAGAAGAAAAAAAGAAGAGAGATTAGCTTCTCCCTTTAGATGCATATTTACCAGAGAAAAGGAACATAAACTTTTACATATTCCTTGATAGAGTTAGATTTTGTATATTTGTTAGAAATACTGGAAAATGTACTATTTATTTTCTCCTTAAGACAAGTATCCTAAACAACATCTGGTTACTTGTCAACAATCAACATTTTGGCGTTGCATTTTTTTTTTCCCTTTAATATTTTGCTCCTTTTGACTTTGATACTATTGTTAACATGATTTCCAAAGAAGAGCCAAAGAAAAAGATAACAAAAAAGAATAGAGGAGGATATATATATGAAGGTACGAGCTCCACAATTACGCAGTTCATGGCATCACATTTAGAAACTTTTCTATACAGTTGTGAAGCATTTATGCATATGTTTGAATGTAACATATTTAGAAGTATGAGTTTGTATGGTTGCAGTTATGTACTGATCTTGTTGTAGTTAATTAGCTCTCTTTTCATAATGGAAGATTTTATATTAGGTCTCTTTGCATTGCATGTATTTATGATGTAGGAGTGCACAGATTTTCAATGTGTTTGTCAACATTTCATTTCTCTTATTATTTGCTGGTGTTTCTCACATTTCCTTTGGGGTTTGCCAATTCTAGTAGGACTGTTTGTCTCTACACTCCCTTCACTATCTCATTATACAATTTCAATCTGTATGCATATGTTTGCAACCATTTTTTTTTTTTGGTTCTGGTATGGACTGAAATGGTAAACATATACCTACTCTATAGTTACTGTATTTTCTTTTTCTTTTTTCAAAATGTAGGGATATATGGACACCTAACTGGGAAATTGACATCACATATGACCGCGAAACTTGCTAAGAAGGTTGTTTTTTGTTAAGAACTTGTTTTTATTTTTTGGGAGAAATTTGATCAACAACTTGAGGTTGAAGAAACTGTAAGTGACAAATATTAGCTCACAAGTAGCCACGTACCTAGATAACTAGCGGCATGCAACTATGAAGAACCTATCAAGAGCTACTGTGAAAATCAGAAAGAGAAGAAAGCACCACACCTCACCACACCACGCACTTGTAGAGATGAAACTAAAGACCACTTGTAGCTCATAAAATGAATTTAAGACCATTCTTTTTCTAGCTGTGTTGTGTGCATTGAAGGGAAATACTAGTTGAATTTGGTGGCCATTGTTCTTAATACGGAATATTGGAGTTGAAAGTCTTCAATATTATGTATGGAAACAGAAGTGACTGGTGTAGGACAATATGAATGCAAATCTGTTGGAAAATTGGTTTTATGAGCATGAGTTTGGCTAACTTTGGAGCCAAATTAGCTTAAAATCCACTTAATATTTTTGGTTGGTCCAAAAGGCAAAGTTGTTCTTTTTATGTGGAGATTAAGAATAAGTATTTGCTTGGTGAAAATCATTTACGGGTGAATAAGAAATTGACACCAACGTGAGTTCTTTGGAAATGGTTCATGTTTGTGTTTCTTGTCCCACATAGGAAAGAAGTGAAGTGGCACCAAAGTTTTCTGTAAAAAATAATGTCATATATGTATTTTTATAGAAAACTTATTTAATTAAATTTTTTTTTTTTGGAAAATTTTTCCTTCAAATTTTCTTTTTTCTTTCCAAACAGAGGTGATTGTTATGTTCAAACAGAGCCACTATTTGCGAAACTTTCACCATCCTCAAAGAGTTTCAACCTCTTCCTAATAGATTTTTCATTGCCTATAAAAATGCAGCCCTCCTTCAATCCAATTCATTCCAATTTTCGTTACCTTCTCTGCATATATTTTGCATACTTGGTGTTTGATTGAGAGTGCGAAGCATAGGTTTTGGTTCGTTAGGCAAGTTTATTGTAGTGCTTCTTCAACTTGCGAATGTCATTTTATTTTGAGAAATAGACGTTAGCCAAAGAAAAATATTTTACTCATTTTTATAATATGTTAGAAATCTTAATTATTTTATTGTAATTATTTTATTTTTTATAAGAATTATCTATGACTTATCTATTTTTTGCAGGATCAATTTGATTTACAAGGAGACCCTGTTGATGTAGAGAAGGCAATGAACACAAAATTTGGTCGGAGATTGAGTAACCATACTTATAGGCTGCACAAACAATTCATGGAGTTGAAGGAGGCTAAAGGGGAGGAGTATGCAAGAAACCACCCACCGAAGAATGACGATCCTACCAAGTGGATAGATCTTATTGATAAAAAGTGGAACACTAAAGAATTTCTGGTAACATTTTCATCTTTTTTATTATATTAGCGAAGAAAGAATTTGATTAGAATAGAGAGAGATTTTAAAACAACAAGAAAGAACACAATCAATTTGCTATGAAATTCCATATGTATTCTTTTCCCTTTATCTTCTAGGCATGTAAGTGGAACATAATAAAAACCAAATAAGTGGAAAAATGACAAAGGGAAACTATTAAACATGGATTGGAAGGCTCGTATAATAGGAGATTAATTTATGGTTCCTTAAAGTGCATCTTTCACATCATAGAATAAAGAACTAAGATTTCAGTTTCTATGATTGTATTAATTTTCTGGTTGTTCTTGGGTTTGGTCTGAAGTTTCATGATAATGGTAAGCAACTAGCTAAGTAACTAATATAGGGTATTGAGACAGAACTTTAGATTTGATAGAGTTGCGGAAGAAAGAAAGGGTTATGAGTTTGGTATCAGTAATTGTTCCATATCTTGTGAAATGTAAATGGATTTTTTCACAATCTATCTTGTCCATGCTTATATACCCCCTATTTGTGAACGGTGTAAATTACTCGTTTTTCTTTTTTCACCCAGAAAAACCAACTTATGATGAAATCTCAATAAGTCCTCTAATCTATTTTTCACAGAATTGAATGAAACTAGTGAATACTTTGAAATATCTTTTAAGTTGAAATGATATATAGGAAAATGATAGAGAGGAACAATGCAATTTCTTTATTATCAACCATTAAATTTGTTTTACTAGTGATACATTTTATTGTTATATTGGTTCATTATTCCTTACAGGAACAATCAAAAGCCAACATATTTGTCTTACTAATGATACATTTCATTGTTATATTGGTCATTCTTCCTTATAGGAACAATCAAAGGCCAACATCGCGAACAGAGAAAGGATGTATACAAAACATAGGTGTGGTTCTAGGTCAATCCCTGTTAGAGTAGAAAAACTGGTACGTATCCTTGCACTTTCAGAATTATATTAGATTCTTATCTTTATTTATTGAATATTTGGTCTATCAAATTAGGCACGAGAAAAGAAGATGCTACCTGATCTAGCAGAGTTGTACAAGGAAACTCACTATAATGAGAAAACACACGAGTGGATCTCATCTCAAGCTCAGTGTAATTATGTGAGTATATATTGCAATTTTTATTAATAAAATTTTAGAATACTATTTGTTGTAATCTTATTTAATTTTCTAATAATTATTTAATTTTTTTTATATTTGATAGGAAAATATGATACAGACATAGGCTGATCACCTCTCACAGTCGGGAACAACCCCTTTGACTGCAGAAGAGCTATCAATCAAAGTCCTAAAGCCAAGGTCTGGCTATGTGAAGGGACTTGGCATGAGACCTTCATCCTCTATTAAGAGAGCCACTACCATATATGCTGAAACAAATGATTACGTGAAGCGCCTTGAGATGCAAATAAAGACACAAAAGGAACAAACACAAATGCAGAACAATAAAATAAAAGATCTTGAAGAGGGTAAGAAGAAGCAAGGGGAGATAATGGCTGATGTTGTCAACTTTTTGAGGACCAAAGGATTCACTGGACACTTTGGAAGTGGAGGGAACTCATCCACAAGTGGACATACTTCTTGGTAAAGTATATTAACTTTAATATAACAAATTTTATAAAAGAATACATGTTTGAAGAATTAGGAAGTAATGGAAACATGCATATGACATCCAATTTGTACAGGTGCACATGATGTATAAATTGTGAATTAGTCTAAAAAATATATTTTTTTCTCTATACTTAAAGCTTGAAAAAAGGCTGTCGAAATGCTAAATTATCACACAATTACAGATTTGTACAATAACCAATAGAAACACCTTAGGAGGGACCAATATAAGTTGTATGAACTTACGACACATTAATGGGATGCACCATTTGTGAATTAGTTTTAAAATTAATTTTTTATTCTCATAATCTAAAAAAAAAGTCTGTTACTGGGATAAATTGTATAATTGATCTAATTGTAAATTGATGAGTTACTAATGTTTTTAATCTTTTGTATAATTGATTTATTACTAAAACTTTTAATTTATTTTTTTGCAGATTGGATTGGGGTGGCATTTTTGACGTGCAACAATGATGTAATTTGTTTGAATGTTCATTTTTGTTTGATAAGGATACACATACAGTTACACTAGTTATTGTTGGATTTTTGGTGGAATTGAACAAGTTATAACTTTTGGATATTTTGTGGCTATTTCACTATTTTATTATATCAGGATGAAATTATTTGTAATGATGAATGTATATTTTCATTTTGTTAATTTGTAAATGTGTTGATAATAGGTTAGGTTAAGTTGTGATGGAATTGTTATATTCAATAGGTTTCAACATGAACAGGGTCATATTTGTTGAACTAAAATTTAGATTTTGATAAAATAGGTATATAATGTGGAAAAAAATATTATGAAATTATTGACAAAATTTTTCATCCCTAAAGAAGGTTTTTTTTGTCTCTTGTTTGGCTTAGGTGGATGATTAATTTTGTCATAAATTCTTTATTTCGTCGCTAAATGAATTTGTCATGACAAAAAATATTGTCACATTTTGTCATTATTACCCTCAATGTGTGACGAATTGTTTTTGATATTATTTCATCATTTTTAATGATGAATTTGTTTTTATCTCTATTGGTAGCTTCTTTGACAAAAAATTTTCATCTTCGTTTATATTAAATGTGAGAAAATTATTTTGTCTCCATTTCTTATATGGAATTTATGACAAAATACTTTTGTCTCTAATTTCTCCTTTAATGACAAATATTTTGTCGCTAATTACTTATAAGTATGTTCCCAACAGAGTGTATTGGAGACAAAACAAATTCGTCACAAATTTATCATTTTTAATGATGAATTTGTTTTTGTCTCTATTGGTATGCTTTTTGACAATTTTTTTTGTCTTCGTTTATATTAAACGTGACAAAATTATTTCGTCTCTATTTCTTATATTTTATGACAAAATACTTTCGTCTCTAATTTCTATTTTTAATGACAAAATATTTTGTTGCTAATTACTTACAAGTATGTCTCCAACAAAGTGTATTGGAGACAAAAAAATTCGTCACAAATTTATCATTTTAATGATGAATTTTTTTTATCTCTATTGGTAGCTTCTTTGACAAAAAAATTTCGTCTTCGTTATATTAAACGTGACAAAATTATTTCGTCTCTATTTCTTATATTTATGACGAAATACTTTTGTCTCTAATTTCTTCTTTAATGACAAAATATTTTGTCGCTAATTAATTTACAAGTATGTTCCCAACAAATTGTATTGGAGACAAAAAAAATCGTCACAAATTTATCATTTTCAATGACGAATTTTTTTTTTGTTTCTTAAGACCTTTAGCGATGACCCTTTGGAACAAAATGGGTGACGAAAAATGTTCGTCGTAATTAGTTTGGGTGACGAAATATATATATTTTGGGACAAATTTGTTTCGTCTTTAAATCCCAAATTTGTTGTGTGAAACATACACATAGCTAATTGTTCAAAAAATGACAATATTACTATGTTCATTATAAAAAAATAAAAAAAACCTCTTCAAAGCTCTTTCAAATTCCTTCAAAGCTTTTCTGGCACCTTTTGAAGTTACTGGTTCATATAAAGTGACATTAAAGGCGTCCTTGGGAGCAAACTACAAAGCTTGAATTCAAAATGCTTAGAAGCCACTTCGAGAATGATTCAAAGTTTACGTCAATGCTAAAGTAGTAAATGTTCTCATCTTGCAGTAGCCATTATTATGTGCAAAAAATTTAAGGACGTCTCGGTTCTTGAAAGAGCTAAATTCAAATGAGAATGTCCATCCGATAAAGGATTACTAAAAGGGCCCAAAATATTTTCCGATGGTGAAGGTTCCAACAAATGACTAATTAGCATCCTTAGAATACCAGCAAAGCCAAACACATTCATACAACTGACAGCTATTTTTTTTTTCGAAAACTGTTGTTAATGCAAGATTGAAGTACTTTGAAGCTAAAAAAATTATGGGAAAAAAATGTCTTTCGAAGCACACGCGTTGGACCAATAGCAAAGCCAAAGGATAGTTGTTTATGTACCCACTTCGAAGACCAATCTAGGAGTATAAAAATGTCATGTCATAATACATAACAAAAGCCGTTTTTTAGTCAAGAATGATGATTTTCACATTGCATGCGTAGAAAACAAAACAAACATAGTGAAAACTCATTTGTGTTTTCTACAGAGCATTCTTTATTCATGCGCCAACTGTAAATTTGATATTGGCCACTATTTCACATTAACTTAGGAAAATAGCCAAGATCATTTATTATTGGTCATTTCCATGCTTCCCATTCGTGAAAAATGTAAAGGGGAATAAAAAAACTCAACAAATAATATTTTCTAGATTGATTATTTGTTAACCATTTTGTCAAAATAAATTTTGATATGAACCACAATTATGAAATGGATTTTGAACAACGAAGATAGTGGTATATTGGTGGTGTTTGGTCAAATTTTGAGAATTTTTCATATTCATCAAAATTTTAAATCCACTAACCGTGGGTTGTTCATTCAATTTATTACTTAACTTGGTTTGAAAGCATATCATCACTAACAAGCTTTTTATGAACTTTGCTTCATCTACAAAGGATGTAATGAACACCCTGGGCCATATATGCGAAATATTATTCTTAGCACATGTTTAGCTCTAAGGACATACATCTTTCGATTTATGTAATTTCAATAATTATGAGCTCTTAAAAACGGGCTTTTGAACTCCCCAGAGCACATGAAATGAAAAGTTATTTTTTCACAAAATTTTAGTCAAAAACTATGAAAACATTTTGTAAATCCCACAAAAATTCAGTCTATTAAGACATATGACAAAAGATAGGGTTGATAATTCATGTCTCCATGACATAAATTTTCATATCAAAGTAATGAATTACTCCAATTAAATGGGTTGTATTTTTGCTTCTAACCAAAATAACGATGATAATGAAGTAAACAACTTTTAGAAAAATTTCTTCATCAGAAAATGATCGGTTCTTGAAATCTAAAATTTTTTCTTTCATGCTAAATTATTTCATATTGATAAATTTGAAGGGAAAATTTAATTCATTTGTCATTTCTTTTTCTTGCCTTCTGCAAGGCATCAGTTTCTCCTTATCGTCTTCGTCTAGCCATTATAGTAGCCCACTGGACGTGCCCAAATATTATTGACTTTTTTTGACTTTCGAATGTTAAAAATGTAACTTTTTACGATCGTTGCCAGTAAGGATCAATAAGTCCTTACAGAAATAATGCAATACCAACCCAATTAATTCAGACAATTGCTGTCGACAATTCGGTTTAGCCTCAATGAAAGAGAACTTTAATGGGGCTTGTATTAGAAGAAAAAATTCAGAGAACTAATCACAAAAAAGTAAAGAAGAGAGGTGAAGAGACATGTTCAGAAATAAATTTCATTAAGTAACCAATGTTTACAACAATATACCTTTGCACTTCACATAGAGCCTCGAAAGGGATTGCAGCAATAGAACAGGGACCTAACTAAGTAGAACTACTCCTGGAAATGAAATGCAGTGCAGAAGTTAAAGGACTAAGATGTAAATGCAACTGGGAAGTAAAATAACTAGGAAAATAAACTACTGCCAAAAATAAATTAAAATTTAAATGGGTTTTTGGATTATTTGTTCCGTCTTGTAAATGTAGCCATCAATGGCTATTTTAATAAGAAAAAACTTCCTAGCAATAAATTACCAATATCACATAAACTACACCTTACTCTTCCATGGCTTCATTCCACAATGCCTCAATATTCTTCATGTCTTTCTACTAAGTCACTTTGTCAATCATATATCATTCAACAAATGTGCTAGTAACATTCTTCACACTTGTCTTTCCATGTTCACCATAGCAAGATCACTAACTTATGTTAATTTCTCTTAACTCTTGATTGATCAAGAAAGTGTCACGTATACCTGCAATAATAATAATAATATTACTATTATATAATGTGTTCAATAACATTGTTATAAAATATGAATATTCGCCAGTGTTATTGTTTAATTTTGATATCTGACGTATTCATATTGATGTGAATAATTACATTACATTAGGTCGCAAAAAAAAATTTTATATTATTTTCATGGTGAACGTTTGGGGTTTTTGAATTTATATAGATTCACTTTATTGAAATGTATTTGGACAATTGTCCGAAATCTCTTTGAAAAAAATTGTATATTCAACAAATTTTTTTGTTTTTTTTTTTTTTATTTTTTATGCAATGATTTGAAACAAAATTTAATGGTATTATAAATTGTTTCCAGATTGAAATAAAAAGATATAGGGTATTAATATAATTTTGGATTAAATACAGGTTATGTTCACAGTGAGGGAATGGATCGGGGGGAACTAAAGTCAAGGTCACTCAAAGGCCCCGCGTCCCAAAATGATTTTTCCAAGGCCCAATCCTCCCTTCTCTTTTTTTAATTTTTTTTTTGTTTTTTTTT